AGTGGAAGTCCATTAACGCAGTTCAAGGCAATAGTTGTTATACGTCCTAGACGAACGACGATATATCCCCATATGTCCATTAACGCAGTTCAAGAAACCATCGTTACAAGTTCAAAAGGATCGAAGACAATCGACCTATCGGAGTTCGAAGACAAGTCGACGATTAGTCTTCGTAAGTAGTATTATTACTACAATAATTACATACTCTGAGATTCAGAGATTATGACATCGACAAGCAACTAAGGAAGAAGAGGCTCTCCCCAGAGCAACAGTCCGAAATAGATTGCAGTACGCGTCGCCGAGTTCGCGCCTGCTAAAGCGCGACTTGTTGGCAAACCCTCACCTTAGTTCAAAGTCGAACGCTTATTAACTTACGCACACATCAGTCAAGGCTCATAATAGCCGGAACACGTAGCAGTATCCTTCATGAGGTAAAGGCCCTTCAAACTCTTACTTCCATCTGAATTTATTGCAGTATGCCAATATCAGGACAAAGTAAGCTTACTACGATTCGAGTATATCTTTCATATAACAACACTACATGTGTAGCGCTCAGATACAACCATAACCTCAACTACGCACGCGGTCATTCGAACAATGCGAATGTCGAAGAATCAAATTTGACGACATTCTGTGATCAAATTCAACCGTTACGCTGCATAAATGAGTGTGTACATTAATCCACCACGAGAATTATTTCCATAATTAATAATAGTAATACTAGTCAACCTTGTCATCAATAAATAACAGAATAAACAGCATATACATCAGCCATATTTATATTGTATTATTATAATATCCCTTCCACTTGTGACCTTTCATCGCTACCACACAACACCCATGGTCTCTGAGTTGTCAACGGTATCAATTTGTATCCTTCGAACCGGCTTTGGTAAAACAAGCCGGAACGGCGAATACATTTTGTACAAATACTATATAAAGATATAAATATGTAGTTTTCTATAGTATTCTTGTTAAATTAGAGACTAATATTCCTACTTTTATTTATTACTTTATTTATGAATAGTTTCGCACTTTCCAACTATTTTTTATAATTAGATTTAACGATACCATCTGATAATTAACATTTGATAGTCATAGGTACTAGTTTACATCGTTTCGAGTCAAATTATATAAAGTGAATTTCAATATTTAATCTTCCTAGTATTATTTGTATATATCTATTTTTTTCGATTTCCCTTATCTTGACACTTCTAGTAAAAATAAGTTTTTCTTGGGGAATTAAAGAATTTTTAAGAGTATTTTAAGTAATTATTTAATTAATTTTAAGTAATTTAAGAATTAAATAATTTTTAATTCAAATTCTGATAAATCTAGATAAGACTTAATAAATACCATGAAATTGTTAACCACTTTGTCTATTACTGGTAGTCTATTTGTCTATTAGAAATCTAATCTCTTAGACACTATTTATAATTTATTATTGCATAAATTTGTCATAAAAGTATCAATTATTTAAAATTATTATTATATTGCTATTACGGATTACAGCAGTTTTAAGCGGAATGCAAAGTGGGAGAGGTGTGAGCGCCCGATTGTTTTGTAAACATTGGCCAACGGACTCAAAGAATGCTTCTAGCCGATAAACTCTAATATACGACTATAATTCCAACAAGTAATAAGAAATGAACCCTACAAAGCTGTGCCCTATTGACGTCACAACAAATAGCGGCATGGTAACAGCCACCGATACGCTATCGGCGCAACCAGTTCGTACGAGATAATGTAAGGAGCTGCACGTGTCGCGATTGCCTCTTGCTAGTACCAGTCATACACTTTTCACAGCGGGCTCGCTATCCAACCCTGCCATCGCCATTGGGAGGCCATGGCAAGTATTAAGCAACCTAAGGAACTAATAGCGATGCCACAACTATACTAGCACCACGCCTCCGTAAGCAACGCAGACACTTGTTTCTTACTTCTTCTTACTAGTTAACAAGCACCCATCACGACAGGACCGCCAATCAACACTCGCGGTTTACGCCTGCATGTAACTAACGTCGACGCTCGTTCTTACGACTACTACTACAGCGATTCTTGCCAACTCAAGTAAGATGCGACCAGACGCTCGTTCTTACATCTTACCCTTAGACCGTGGTTTATGCCCACATCGAGCACACCAAGGTGCACCAATACCACCACTATCTTTGAGCTTACGGACACGAGCAGTGACGTCACACGGACGTTCTCCCACCACTCCGTATACTACAGCTCACCCCACGCCGGCTGCTAAGACGGCGCTAATTTGCTGGCCATACCACCACGAGTCTCCCACTATAACTACTCAACCCAAAGGAAGAAGGGGAATCACGCTCCAGGCTATCAAGAATACACGTACAGACTTATGGCCACCAACATTAATGAAGAAACACTGATCTATTTATTCTTCATACACTCATTCCGATATTCATAGATTATTAACTATTCATTATTTATTATATTTAATAAATGGAAAGACTATAAACATTAAAGGCAGTATGGAATAATTGTATTACCCCTTCCACTTGCCAGCAAGCCTCCACCCACCATCATAAGGAGGTTTTAAGTCTGATCCCAGACAATTACAAAATAATTTTTATTCTCGTCTTTAATCAATTTGATTCTAATTACGAAAGTTTCAAGTTAATTTAGCCTTCAGTATAATTTATATGCTATTATCATATCTTTCAATGATCATAATAATAATAATCTATAAAATTTATTCATTGTTACAGAATTTTGTTATATTACCGTTTTAAAGAAGTTGATGCGTGTGATAACAAAAATTTAATTTTATGTTATTCACTTTTTATTTCTATTTACAGATGTCTCTCAGAATTATATGTCATCCCAATCAATTTATTAATTGTAACAGCAAAAATTTAAATATCACTATCACACTGTAAAATGTATTTATTTCCTTTTAAATCAACTCATTGGTATCGGTTTCATAATCATTGTAGGTTCTCACTCTATCTCTTTTATTTATCCATATTGAAGTCAAAAGATATAAAGTAATACGAGACTTTGTTACTTTAAGTTCCACATTTAAAACTGAATATATATAAAAGATACAGCAATTATTATTGGTCGATTTTAAGGGTTTGTTTTATGGCTCGAACTGCCAATTCAATAGTTCAGTGGATTAGTCTCTCATCAGGATAACTTTAAAGGAAATAATAAAAGAAAAGACTGTAAAATATGTATTTTAGTAAAACAATGTTTATTATTTGTTAATAACTATAATAATAATATTGCAATGTTGTTGAGAAAAGATTATTCTATTGTAGTAATGAGGGTGTGTCCTTGTAGTCTTGATTATCGTAGATTCTATGGCTATGACTGTGTATCTTGAAGTTAAGGTTATGCTGATGTTGTAAATATCAGCCGGTGTAGTCAATCATGCTCATGAGGTAGCATGAGAAGATGGTGTTTGAATCAAATTTGTTTGATATATGAAATAACTATATTTGATATGGTGTAAGATGTTTCATGCAACTCGGTGAGTAATCAATTGTGTCTTTAATTATTTATGGGGACAGTAGAAAGACTAGTCACACACTAGAGTAATTAATGATAAGCCTTCTTGCTCTTGAAGAAACTAATGAAATGTATTTGTAGTCGATTATTCAATATATTGTTATCTGGCCTTGACAATGTGCTTGACGGATTGCGTCACTTGTGTCAACTCTTATGGGCCTGTACGGGGTCGAAGCGTTGGTTCGACCGAGAAAATGTGAAATTTATTTATTCTTGTGCGAGATATGACTAGCTTATTTATTAACATAAAAAATGTACCTTGTGAGCTGCAAACAAGGTGTGTTAGTTTGTTGCGTAATTGATGTCCCCTTTGATTACTATTCCAACTAGCTTTATTGTAAATCACTACTAAATCTGCCGATTTCCTTTTAATAATGCACACGTATATTATTAACTAGGTTGACGAATTTATGGCCACGTGTCGTCGTCATGGTATATACTAAAACACATGGCAAGCTGCCCTTAAAAATACATGCAGCAGGATGAAACGACGGCAACAGTACCGCCGCTTATCGCTATACCGAAAACTTCTTCGCGGCGTTAGAAAACGAAGTTTCTATAAGTTGTGTAGCCATTCTTTCTTTGTGTGATCTTATAGTATATTAGATTTCATGTCATAAAACTTGCTCGGGCTCGTCGAGTTGTGTTTATAAATATTCGCCCGAGTGCGCGTGCCGTGCGCCGTACAGCACGTGTAACCTACTTTGGCTAAAATTCGTGGAAACTGCATCAATCCCGAACAATTATATATAGTAAAGAATACCGAGAAATATTTCATTTTTATTTAATTTATTTCATTACCGCATGTAAATAAAATGCATATATTTTTAACAAAGTTTTAGAAATTTTTTTATCGTGTGTTAATGACAAATGACAATTCTAATTGTCATAAAATATCCTCCAGCGGAACTATCAAATTCTTTTTATACTCATTTTTAACCACTTTTATTTATTTTCAATAAACCACTTTGAATAAAGTTCAACTTTTTAAGCATTCTATTTTAATCGAAGCCATTAAATTGATTTTATTTAAATTTCTATATGATTTAATATAAATTAATAATTATTTTCATAATAGTATTATAAATTCATCAAAATGAAAACTTGCTATGGTTGTAATTTAGTACTAATATTAATATTAAAATTTTAATTTATGTGTAATCTTTAATTCTTTAACGTAACCTTAATTTTTCATTTCATTATTAATTGTTTTCGTCAAAAATTTTGAACTATTACTTTTATTATACATTCCGAATTTCGACTCACTTAACTATGTAGTTAAACAAAATTTTTGTATTTAAAACAAATCATTATTGATGAATTATTGTTAAAAATAAATCTTTTGTTATTTAAATTATCATTATTTTCTATTCTAGTTGCATTATACAATAATAGAATAAAATATAATTATATTTTTATAATAAATATGGATGTTAATATGATTTATTATAAAATACTAGATAAAAGAAGTTGCAGCCCCATACACATCGACGACAAAACTACGTCGCTTTTGGGAACATGATATTCAGTTAGTACGGAATTCAAATATAACAGATATCAATTTAAGCAATTCAAGGTAAAATCCTCTTTAATTCTTTCAAATAGTGTATGTTTTCTCATATCCTTTATAAGTACCTTGAATAGAAAAGTATATTGTATATATACACACCTTTTATTTGGAGTGTAAAAAATAATACTTAAGGAAATTTTTAATTTAAAAATATGAATACATTAATTTATTAATGTGGAAGCTTTGAAATAATAAAAATATGAAAGTAATATGAGATTATCTGCTAATAATTAACATAGTTTCTTAAATAACTTTTAATCTTTAATTCGTTATATCGAATTTACTAATAAAAATATAAGTCAATATATTCGAGATTGCGAGACATTTTTTCAATGCAATATAACATCTGGCAAAACAAAATCGTAAATTTATGTTTAGATTTTAAAACTTTCTTGCACGCAACCATCTAGCAATAGTGTCATAATATATCTGGAAAAACTATACAATAAATACGGGAAAAACCCACTCAGTTAGGCATCTGTACGAATTCGTTCCGCTCGGTAATTATGTCAAGCATTATGTACTAGCGGACCTTCCCCCCTTCCCGCTGTCGACAACTTGTCTTGCTGTCGACAGATGCGTCAGCGGCAACAAGAGCTCTTTTTGCCATGAAGACCAAGAGGCAACTTACCCTCACCTTAGTTCAAAGTCTGACGCTTATGAATCTACAGCGTAGCATTCAACGCTCGTAGAAGACACAACAAGTGCAGTATCCTTCATGAGGTAAAAGACCTTCAAACTCTTACTTCTAACTGAATGTATTGCAGTACGCCAATATCAGGACAAGGTACGCTTGCTGCGATACGAGTATATCTATCAAGTAACACCAGTTACACGTGTCGCACTACATATCAACCATAACCTCAATTAGGCACGTGCTCGTTCAAACAGCGCGAGTGTCGACGAATCAAACTTCGCGCCACTCTGCGCTCATATTCAAACCATCACGCTGCATAGATGAGTATACGTTTGCCACCGCAAACACACTATTCCACCCCAAGAGTTCTTTCAATAATTAAGAATAGTAATACTAGTCAACCTTATCATAAAATAAATAACAGAATAAACAACTTATACATCAGCCATATTTATATTGTATTATTATAATATTCCTTCCACTTGTGACCTTCCATCGCTATCACACAACACCCGTGGTCTCTGAGTTGTCAACGGCATCAATTTGTATCCTTCGAACCGGCCTTGGTAAAACAAGCCGAAACGGTGAATACATTTTATTCACAATAAATTTAAAAATAAATATTAGGAAAGAATAAAATGAAGAAAATATAATAAAAACTCATGTAATTATAAAGTTTATTATTACAAAAATATATATATATTCAAATCGAAAGCTACAGTCATAAAGCAAAATTGCATGAAATATGATATGGCTTTAGTATGTGCGTTTCAAATTTATATAACATAATTGGTATTTTTTGTACGGTTTGGTTATTTATAATTGTATTTATGTTAGTGTATATAATTGTATTTATAAATTAATAATAAATTTATTAATAATAATTATTAATATTCCATTGCATCCATAATAATTAATATTAATTATTTTCAGTTTTTTAATCATTTTTCAATTAATTTATTGTTGAAAAAATACTTTAATAAGGAATAATTATTATTAACTGCGAATCATGTTTGATCTGATAAATACATTATCATATATAGTACAGTCAATAACTATATCCTCTAACATAAATGTTGTTGTTCAAATGTTGTGTTGAAATCGATACATAGTTAACATAATAAATAAATTCTTAATTTTATGGAAATGATGACGTTTAATTTAGCATCCTTTTAACCTATCATCCATAGATTTTGTAATATTTTTTTACTGATAAAAATAGCAGAGCTAAGGACTTCGGGCAAATAGCATTGATTATAAATTATTTAGTGGGTTCAGAATAGATTTTAATTTCATTTTATATTTATTTGAGGATACTACTGTTGTGTTACAACATCCATTGCTGATCCCCATAACACTATCAAAGGCATCGTTACCATCACCAACTGGTCACCATATCATTGTAATAGAATAATTCGCTCTCTCCCATAAGAATCGAACTGCAATACTGTAATAGTTAATAAAACAGAATAACCGATGTCTTAAAACGGCGGTACACCCTGTACATATTGACAGCCCTTACCCATGTGTACTTTCCTAAGCATCGCTATGGTGAGAGATTAATAAACTGAACTATTGAATTTGGCAGTTTGAGTCAGAAATTAAACGTTCGAACAAAATGAGATCAGTTGGAGTCTTTTGCAGGAAAGATCAAAGAATATACGCTCATTCAACGCAGCTATTGCAAGGAACGCTCGTTCACTGCTCTAGTGCAGAAAATTAAATCATGTGTTCGAAATTGAGAGACCTTTTTTCAATACAATAAAACATCTTGCAAAACAACATCATTAAATTGTTGTTAGTCTGCAGAAAAATTCCTGCTTATTTCATATCAAGCTAGAATGTCATTAAACTCATTACACTTGGTCATAAAACTTGTAGAAAACTCTCTCACGGACGTCGGAGACACGAAAAGATCGGTACATCTGGAAAACTCCGTAAATTAGTCATTCTAGTTACTTCGCATTAACAATACGTTCATTGTTTGACGCGTTAATGATCCAACTGTTTACTGGCACGAACGCGCCGGCTCTGCTTATACTAGAACAATTGGAAGTACCAGATGTACGTAAAACTCTTGACCATAAAAACGTTTCCTAAATTTCACTACAACCAAAAACATCGCACGTGCGACATCGGACAATCTGCGTACGTGCGCATTCGGCATCTTAAGACAATGCATACAATGTTTTCAACTACGCCTAATCTTGCCGATCGCGCTAGCCCATCGACAACGCTCTCAGAGGACCTCCCATATTGCTAAGTCTCAGAGAAGGGAGAGACGACCATTAGTAGACACCCCCCTCCTTCAGATACTCTTCAGATACAAGCAATTTCAAGCCTAAACCTGGAAGTGGCAATTAAGGTGTGCATGATCAATCATGTTACCCAAAGTCGCACTCTGATTGGATACAAGAAAGAAGAAGGGGTTTCTAGTGGAATAGGGTCAGTAAACTAATTAAAAAGGATAAATACAATGTGTCACTATGTATTTTCATGAAAAGTATGACGGAGGAAAGGAGAAAAATCAATCAGCTGAGTCTTGTAAAGTAACTTTCTATTTCTGTGTTTCATAATCCAGTTATATTTAATCTCGTCTTCAAGAAAGACGCCAGCAAGGGGCACATAACTCTCTTCTCACAAGAGAAGCCGGAAAGGCTTCTTCTCGAAAGGAACGCTAAATAACAGGGATGTAGACATATACAGTGTTCGGGATTGAAGCAGTCCCATGAATTTCAAACAAAAGAAAGGTCATATACGCAGTCCGGCGTACCGCATGTGCGCCTAGACTGACCGCGCGTACAGCAAGGCTGACCACCACATGCGCCTAGGCTGATCCGCACGTGCGGACCGAGGCGGGCACTCGAGAAAATGTTTACAAACAAAACTCGGCAAGTCCGAGCAAGTTTACGATTTGAAATATTATTTACTGCCAGCACTCACAAAAAAGGACGCCTTCGAAACTTCTAGAAGCTTCGTTTTCTCACGCCAAAGGAAAATTTCTGGAAGGGACGCGCATCGACACTGTTGCCGGCGCTGCAGATGACGCATGCACATTTAAACGCAACGCGCCATGAGGCGACGCTCATTCGTAAAATCACTTCGCTCTCAATCAAGCGTAACTGCCGGTCAGTGCATAGTATACTGTAAAGACGCCGCGTGGCCACAATTTT